TCTTTTTTTCTCCTTTCAATCGTGACTTCATCCAATCGAAAGTTTCAGCCCCATTCACTAAATAAATTTATTGATATTATTTTCGATTCAAGTAGATGCGTAAAACAAATGAAATATGTATATATTTAACTTAAAACGCATCGAGTAAATAAAATGGCTCGATTATGATTTATAAATAATCGCAGCACATTTGCCCGAAATAATTGATAAATTTATGGATAAATTCATAAATATATGTATAACGGATAGAAAAATTTGGAAAATTCGTTAAAAGTTTACGTACTCCGAATGTGAAAGTTTTTATTTGCGTATTTAAACAAAAAATGGATACGTTCGAATATATATTCATCTATTCAAAAAAAAAAAAAAAAAAAAAAAAGGAAAAAACATACGTTCGTACGAGAGAATACTTCCACATACCCGTATTCCAACAATTATTAACTAACGCGTTTTATCGTTACATATGAACAGAATGATCCAATAAATTTCCAGAGATTTGGAAAATATTTATTCGTAAAAGTTATTTGTGCAAATATTCCAACTGATAAATCTATCGACGCAAGAATGATTTGAATTCTTCCATTTGAATCCTTCGTTCGTAACTAATTTGTAAAAAGCAGAAAAAGAGAGAGAGAAATCTATCCCTAGAAAAATAGATGCGATCGAAAGAGAAGTGTCTCGATACCTGTATCCATTTCCCCGTGTTCGAATGTACAATGACGGAGCATCGAGGCTAGTTAATCACGTCGACATCGACGGCCGGAACCGGAGGAAACGAGAAGAAGACACGATCCCCTTCACCCGGAGGAAATTAGAGAGCGACTCGTGAACGGAATAATTCAACTCCATCTTTCGTTACTCGAGATGGTAAACAACGATTACGATGATGCGACCCACGACTGTTTCCAACTTTCGAGCAAACTTTCGACATCGCCATCATTAAACCGGGACGAGCGAAAAACGTCGTTCTTTTAATAAAAAAAGAAGAAGAAAGAAAGAAATAATTTTTTGCGAGCGCCACGCAGGAAAATAGGAAGGATTCGAGGCTTACGAGATCGCGTTTACGACGCATGCGCGTAAATTCTCTCCTACACGCAACGACCACCACCACCACCACCATAAAAAGTTATCGCGCCATGCGCCGTAGCGCAAGCGCGATGAAACGCTTGCTCGCGCTGTAGATATCTTAAAGATGTCTCGTGATGGCGACAAGGGCAGCACGATTCCCGATTTCAAGGATCGTGCTTTTCCGTCGGTTGATATCTCCTTCGGCTGTTAATCCGTTCTGTCACGAAACGATACCTCGTAAAACAGCAAGGAGCGGCAGCAACTCGAGACGTTGCCGTCGTTCGTGAAAGGGAAGGGGAAAGAAAGAGAGAGAGAAAAAGGGAACTTGTTAACAAAGCAGAGGATAGACTTCATAAAGTGGCAATATTTGAGACGACGACTACGACGATACGACGCGAGAGTTTTACGTTTTCTTCGTTTTCATCTCCGACTTCCGTTCCTGTTTCCCTTCCGTGCAGTTGGCCACGGATCTGTCGTTGCTTCCGCTGGCTGTGATGCGTAACCACGCCTTCCGCTTCTGTTACACCGAAAGGAGATACGCGTTGTGCATTATTCTCCCTCTTCCTCGCTTGGACGCGGGAGCGTCTCACGAAAGACAAAGACGAGGTTGTGCGGTATATGAAGATACGGATTCGCAAGAATCGTAATTCGTTCTTCGGTCATCGTATTATTTGTAATGTGAATTGTCTCCATGTTTGTAATATTGTGTCGAAATATTTAAAATATATATAAATACTGATCGAAGTTTTTGATCGGTTTAAGGAGTCGAGATTCATTACGTTAGGGTCCTGAGGCATTACTTATTTAGCAAAGTCTGGATCTTCATTCATCACCACGTGTAACACCCAGTGTAAGCCCAGAAAGACCGAGCCACGAGCTATCGCGTCGAAGATTAAGAGAGGCTTCTCGTCCAGCGAATTTCGTCTTCCGCAAGAAAATTTAAAACCAGCTACATTCACGAGTTTTTTTATTATAAATACGTTGACGGATAATTTTCGGTCTCGAAATTGAACTTCGTTTGGACAGAGTTCGTTCATATCGTAAAAAAGAAAAAAAGTACGCGCACGACTTTCCATTATAAAAATTCGAAGACCGTTCTTCGAAAAAAAAAAAAAGAAAATTGTAAACGCAAAAAACGTTAACTTATACCATCACGCTTAAAACATCGTAACACTTTTTCCCCGCACTTTTCATTTTTTCATGTGCATTTAACATTTACGATGAAAATGCTGGCTGCTAATAATGCACATACTCTATGTATATATATATAAAGCTTGCTTATTACTTTTTGTTTTTTATTAATATTTTCGCTGAAATTTTCCGACTACGAAGCTCGATGAATTTATTCCTCCCGCGGTTATTCAAAAATTATAATTACCTTATACTCCTTCAATTTATCGAAAAAAATAAAAAGAAAAAAACCTATTATCCATTAGAATAATATCAAATAAAATCCATTATACAACACTCAGACAAAAAACACATTTCTCTTCAAACTTAAAATTTCGTTTTTAACTCGTATCGTTATAATACCAAAAAAAAAAAATTCCCGCGGTCTTTCGAAACGCTACCAGAAAAATTTCGTTTCAACATTATTAATCCTAACTCCATAGAAAAATATCGAACTCAAATATAAAAGTAAGCCGTTCTTCGTCAATCGACGCTACACGGTTGAACGGTCGACCATTAGAGTGAAAATCACCTCGCAATCATCGTACGGATTCGTTCAGAAGGGTGGTGTGTTCGATGGATCGTTCGTCTTAAAAAAAAAAATACCCAACTCTTGGGATCCTGTTTCGCAACATTGAACTCGAGTCGAATATAAAAGTAAGCAAGTAATATCGCCGTTCCTCGTCGATCGACGCCCCAGCACGATCATTAGAGGGAAAAATCGCACAGATTCATTTAGAAGCGTGGTCTTTGGAGCGCGAGGGATCGTTCGTAACGGGGCCAAGCTAACAGCATCTTTCGAATTATCGAATATTCCACCACGCGGTCCTTCGAACGCTAACCAAGATTCTCATATCCATTTCCATGCTCCCATTACCATTAACGGCGTGCACCGGGGTTGCGGAAATCAATGAAGAACCGGGGTGCCATCTTTTTTTCTCCACATTGGCAATCCTATTTATTCGTCGCGCCTTCCCCCTCCCCTCGCTTGAATATTTCACCAAGTTCAACGTTGTTGTACTTATGTTAATTGGAAAACACGATCGACATCCGGCTCCCTTCTTCCGCCCCTTGCCCATTCCCCTTGAAAAATTGCCAGGGACAAGCGAGTGTTTTATTTCCAAATTTATGCAAACGCGAGCCCCGGCAAGAGCGCGTCAAACTTCAACCCGCGGGAAGAAGAAGTCGAGGAGAGGCGATAACAGTTTCTTCTTTCCTCCGGCGAGCGTCGTCAAATCGCTCGTTTATAAACATCGAGCGTGAGCAATTTCCAGGACAATGGTGGAAGAACGGACGAGCTCGGCGCGCAGCTAGGATTCCTCTCACATTGATCGCACAGCCGACCTGAACCTGAAACCTTGCCCGCTTGGAAAGTCCTCTCCACGCGATAAACTATTCATGACAATTAGGGGGCCATATGAAACGGTCGCGCGCTACTTTCTATGCAAACAGTTCCGACCAGTTCCTCCTTACCCGACCCTTTTTTCCCCTTCCATTTCACTCGGCTCGACTCTTGTCCGACTCATCTCCCTATTTTCGAGTCAATTACTTATTATTATTATTATTCGTTCGTTCGATCTCATCCCTTCTCTTCCTCGCACGCGTCGCCTCGGTAACCGCGTTCACAGCAGATACGGTTTCTCCTCGAAACCGTCGCCCCGCGGATTGTCACACCCCGCCGACCAGGAATTTCATCTAGCACATAATTAATCTCGGCAATTACACGGCAGACAAGTATAATTCCGTGGTAGCGGCGGCATCCGGCCCGACTGCGATGAAAGCCGATGCTACAACGTTCCGCCGCTAACTGTCCGACCCGCAAACTCGAGGTTTCCTATTCCTTCCGCGATGCCTGGTCCCGTTTCCTCTCCCTCGCTGTGAAACGCACCGCCCGACCCCCGCCCGCTCCCGTCCACGCGCGATCAAATTACACAACAAAGCATCGATTCTCGTGGCAAGGGCATTGTCGCGAGAAACGAACAACCACTTCTCGTCTCGCAATTGATTCCAAGAGAAAACGTTGCCAAAAGATAGAATTAGAAATAGCGGTCCGTTGATCGAACGTGGGTGATGATTGTTGCGAGAATCTCGTAATTAGCGTAGCAAGAATGCAATGATTTAGCTCTTGGTCTTGGGGAAGAAAGAGAGAAACATTTAAAATTCGATTATACGCGACGACGTTGCACGATATTTTGCGTTTGAAGGTAGACAAATTTTCCGTGTCGGACGGTATAAAAATGTCCTTCAGTTTTTTCTTTCGTATAGATAAGTCCTGTGAAATATCAATGTGTACAAAGAGTATTAAAGTACGAATATTTGAAAAATTGGTAGATATCTGGTGAGATGTTTCAAATTTTTGAGGATAACTAAGAATAATTTTTATCAATTTTTGCGTCGTTTGTTTTTATCCAAGCAATTAATAATAAATCTCACAATTTACCAAGTTTTAATGAAATTTAATAAAGGCTAATTGTCTCGCGTTTTTATTACCGGGTAATAATTACTGCTGTATTTACCGCAATCCTAATAAATTACTCTTAATTAAATCCACTTCGACTTGTCCGAACTAAAGTATCGATTAAGCGGTAGAATTGTTTTTCACCCGCCATTATGCCTGTTCAATCGAAGTAACCAGAATTAATAAGCGATCGAACAAACTGCATAAAATTCTATCGTTGGCGAAACAACGTTACGAACGTTATAAATTTCTATTATTTTCTCGTAATTCATCAATTGTACGATACGCTTCCAATTATAAATCTCGCTTAATTATCGCGTGTATCCTTTTTATCCTTTTTACCGGAGCGTTCCGATTTATTTTATTCGCATTTCACATTTTTCGAATAATCAATATAGACGCGATCGCGTGGAAAATAATCAGGTCCTTCCCCCGAGTAATAACGGGGAGTAAATTCGACACGTAGCACACGTAACGAACGTGGCGATATCTGGTGAACAAAGATAAAAGCAATACGCATCGATACACGTCCGGATCATCGTGTGTCATCGGGAAGTGGACAGTAATGCATAACGAGCACACGCGCGGTCAATTCCGTTATCGAAACGGATGGCTTTATTAAACCCATTATTCACTGGTCGTAATTTATCACGATAACATTGCGTTTTAAGGATGATTATACGATGGTCAAGAAGGATGATGTGTATCTGCCGATTACGCGTGCCCTCTGTTTGATCACGTGATCGATTACTCGAACGACGACAGCTCGTCGACCTTATTTTCCATACAAACAGTGAACACATTCGACTCGAAATCCATACTATCGCCGATACGTCGTTATATATACAGTGGAAAATTCCGTTAGAGGATATATCACGGTTTACCATCGACGATTCGTCTTAGTCACGAGGAATCGAAAAAACATCGACAGCTCGCTCCTCTATTTTCTGCGCTCGTTACGTGGCGAAACATAACCTTTCAACCTAGATGCTCGCACACTTTGACGGATTAGACCCGGTTTACATCGCCAAGCATCCACCAACTGTTATTATTCTACCCACGTATGTACGTTTAAATACTTGTACCATGTACACCGTGTTTGATCACGACTGGGACTATGAATAATTTCTACTGGTTCTGTTTATAAAGTAAACTTTCCTTCCTTGATTCGGGCCACCATTTGTGGCAAATATTTCGCTCGGTCGGTATATATATATATTCGCGTTGGAAATAGGCGTTCAAACGGTGAAAAGTATAAGCGGTGAATAAGAAAAGTTACGAATCCCTTTCTTACCATCTTCTCTCCGTGATAAATCTTCGAAGAGACAATCGATCGACGATAATATCGTTGCAAAGTTATTCGATAATTAGGTATCGAAGACACACCGTGGGATGAAATTTGGCGTGTGCATCGTGTGCAAAGGCAGCTTAATATCGACGGGGCCGGCGGATCTAAAAGCGAAGTTTCCTCTCTTCTCCGAGGGATTTTCTCAGCTTTGGAATATATAGTGGAGAGCGGTGTGTAAACGATCGCCGTGCCTCCGCACGCCATATTAATAGGGCCATCTTCGTGGCCAGCTTAATATTGGATAGCGGGGCGCTTCGGACGGTCCTTAGAAGCAGAAACGATTTATGGCCTCCACCGTTGGAGGATTTGTAAATAGAATCCTGTGTAGAAGGAGAGCGGCCCGAGGACAGGCACGTGCTCGGCATAAAGTCCGCCAAGAATATGAGGAGGATTTCCACCAATTGAATTTGTTGTTACAGCCTCTACCGATGCGAATCAAATTGAAAATGAACCACGTTATCTACTCGCTGAGTAAATCCTTGCTTCCACGAAACTTATTATTAGTTATTAATTATTGACCAAAAAAAAAAAAAGGAAAAAAAAAGAAAAAAGAATTCGTATTGTATTATTTTCAGATACGATAAGAGGCCGATGAAAGAAAGAGGAGGAAGAAGGGCGAGAAAAGGGGTGAAACCGCAACTTTACAAAAGGGAGATTCATATTCCGGTCGGAGAAGCAGCGGCATTCGGAGCAGAAAATAAAATCTACGGGGGTCGGTCGGTCCCGTCCACGGAAACGGACGTTGCATTCACGGGAACGTTTCTCGTTTTCGTCTCATAACTTCCTCCTTCCTGAACTCCTAACCGACTCTTTCTCCCGACCGTGTCGCGTAGCTGACCCTTCCTGCACTTAGCCGGGCTCTAAACCAACCGGCAAACTTCGTGATATGCATTTGAAATGCCGAGTCCGAAATTTTCTTTCGGTTACGCGCAATCGGATTTTCCTGTTAGAAATTCGTCGTTAAATCCTTTTTGATTTTGAAAGAACGCGGGGATTTTATATATTTTGGATACACCTCCTTTCTTCGATCAAAGAAACTTTGTCGCACCATCAATTTATAGATATTCCTAATTAATTCTCGTTTGCAAGTTTTTTTTAACTCGATTCATATACTTTTCTTAACATCTTAAGATGTTTGTCCTTTCGAAACAAGAATGATTCCATTCGATTTCTTCGAGATCATGGTACAAGTGACGCGATGATTCTATATGATGAAAAGTGAATAGAAAAAAAGAATTATTTCTAGAGGTTTTCAAGTGGAATCAAATTTTCAAGTACAAATTAAATTAGAATAATACGAATAAATTATAGGAGGATAGGAGTCTTGTTCATTTTAAAAAAAAAAACTTATTTTTTTTTAGAGAAAATTGAATTTGAAAATTCGATCATACTAAATTTAATATCACATTTTTTTATTTTCATACGTGGAGCGAATCACCTGTCGATAGTTCATTTTTACCCAATTTTACTTGTACTTTTGAAAAATTTGAAAATTCCATTTCGACTATTTTTACACGTAAAACCAGTCAGCTTGTACCACAATTTCTGTACAGGTACATATATATATATATATACACAATGGAGAGCCGATTTGCAAACCGACTATCAGGGAAACACAGCGTCTAACTATCGGCTAATCAGCCACCAACTTGTTCGATGTAAGACGGAACGCCTCTTATCCGATGATCCGTCTTTCCTCGAGACATAACAGGGGGCTAAGTATGCTCGACTAAGCTTCCGTCACGTCGGATAGTGTGGTAAATCTTCCGGATTTATGTGCACCATTGTCCACGGCCATGCCGTCCGCTTTTTGCCGTAATATAAACCTGTTTAAAGCTGTCGAGTGTCGTCGAGGACATCCTTGTAATCGTAAATGAAGATTTTGAATTTAGAAGGAAAAGAAAAAAAAGGACAGGGCGGCGAATAGAGAATCGAGGAAGAGAAAAATAAATGGTATTATTAAATAAAGCGATGATTATCTTCGTTCGAATATGGGAGAAATTCTATTTTATATCTCAATATGGGTATCGTTGTGAAAACAATTAATCCTATTATCTCCTGATGAATTATTATCAATATACACTCGATAATTGCGAATACGATATTTGCATCGAAGTGACATTTGATATTTTGCGACAAAGGCAATTTAATAATAATTTATATTCATCTCTCGCCGAACGAAACGTACTTTTCTGTCAATAATAAATCGAGCAATAAATCTTGACGAAATAATCAATTACGAAAGATGAATTGATAAATTTTTTTTTTTTTTACTTATATTCGATCTTTACAACACGATCCATTTATTAATATCAATATAATAGCCATATCTAAATATCTGCGTGCGAATCATGAAGTAAATACAAGATCACAAATTTCACGGATTTTGTGCAACATCTCGTTCGTGTATAATCATACAGAAGGGTTACAGACAGAAATTACGATATTTTAAAAGAGCGACAATTTATGAGAAAATAAACATCGTTAATACATACCAGAGACTATGCCAAGTCTGGCTCGAACCATAATCTCGTTATACACCGAGAGAGGGCTACTGTGACCCGCAATAACCACTCTGTTCCCAAGTTTATATACAGTAAGAACTCGGTTAACCCGTTTGGAACAGGTTACAAGCGAACAATTCGTTTCCTTTAAAAGATAATACTCACGCGCAATACGTAACTCTGTAAAATTTCGAAAGATATTAGATATTTATCATAGGATGAAAAATAAATGGTAAATAAATTGTTCATCTTCCCGACATAATCGCAGCGGCGATCGTTTTTGGAACGAAATATCGAACAAAAGTTTGAAAAGGGGGAGGTAGATAAGTAATCTTGTAAATAGCTCGAAATACTCCTCGCTGCCTTGTATTTCGCCTCCATCGTACTTCAATACTCGTATTATCTAAAGTGTTGCTTTTCGCTGCTCGCTCAGGAATAGAGCTGTGAAGTTTATCAAGAGGGGGAGAAGGGGGTCCTCGGCTATCCTTTGTATCGCGAGTTCGAGGAAAAATTGCGGCGTTGCCATTCTGGTCTGGACTCTGTTCGAGGCTCGACTGTGGCGGATATACTTACTCTGATCGGGCGCGGCGGATATTGAAGTGATGAAACGTCAGCTTGACGATTTCGTCGGGTTGACCGATGAACGTGTAAAGGAGGCAATCGATATTCGACGGATATGGCTTTGGGTAATAAGGCGATGTGAACGTGCCACCTTGAGGTCTGTCCGAGCTGCTGTAGACGACGCAAGAGCAACCTACAACAAATCGCAATACCCATGTTACAATTTACGTAATAACATCAGATTTTTGATTGTGAAATTTTCGAAAAATGTCCCTATAAAAAGGGCTTGTAAACTTTTGAATCACCGACAATGAAATCCATATCCATACCCGATCTTACAAGCTCCGACGAAACTTTTCTTATTTCCAAAATGAACTCGTCACGCTTTCTCATCGATCTTCGCCCCCTCATCCCAGCCCCTCGTATCGGCCCCACGTCAATCTCGAGGAATCAAATTAAAGTTCGACTTTTCTACGAGGGAACGTACCGCAACTTTCTTGCCGAACTTCGAAACGAACGAAATCACCGATTGCCGAGGATCCTTAATGCTTAACGATCGATCGATCGATCGATCGTGGAAAAAAAAAAATTGGCGATAACTTTTCACGCGGAATGTCGCGTACGTGTCGACGATTTTCGCGACGAACGAAAGGATCCCTGCCCTCTTCCTCACCTTTCTTCCTTATATCCGTCAAAGCGGATAGCTCTGTATCGAAACGAGGATTTAATTTCCATTCCATCCCCCATTCTCCTCCCGGCTTAACCGATCTAAAATACCGTGTTTCAACGGCAACTCTTTGTCACGAAGGGGGAGAAAATCGCGAAGGAACGCGGAAAATCCGCGTCAAATAGATGAGCAGCGATGCTCGAATATAAAAGAGATCGAACGATCGAATCTTGGTTCGATCCTCCTCCCCTTTTTTTTAAAATATAACGAAAAACGATAAGTTAACAGGTGTATGCTATAGATACGTATTAAAATTGTACGAGACACTTTTTTCTAAATTATTCGATCGCGCGATTTGATTTTAACGTTTGCTCGAGAAAAAGAGGGGGAGGAAAAAATTATATCGATATCGATATACATTATCGGTATAGCGATAATAAATCGAATTCGGTCCATGAATCGGACGCAATAGCTCGTTCATCCCCCCTTGGAAACGTTTAAAAAGCCAACAATCCTCGACCACTCGTCTCTCTCTTACTCTTCCACGACATTACCACGCTCAACGATATTTCCTCCTCTATTTATATCGATTTTTATCGTATAAGATGGTTATCGGATAAAGCAGAAGAAGAAAAACCCTATTAAGGTTATAAACCGTGGATATATCGCAGAGAGGCAGATGGAAGGTCGGATCGGTACGAAATGTGGGTCATTCACGTCGAGAGGGCTCGTCGATACGGGCGCAATAATTTATCCGCAACAATATCACCGACCTTTCCCGCGATTAGTTCGTGTCAGCCGATCGCAGGGGGAGGCAGCTGATTCCGTTGATTATTTCCCTGGAACGTGATCCATTAGGAGAACATTCGTTCGACGGGGACGCCACGACTAATCCGAGCGAGACGATTTGTAAGAATCGTCGGCCCCTAACGCCATCCATCGTTCGAGAGGCTAAACTACGCGATACGAAAGAGGGGATTCTCGGCCTCTGTGCTCGGCTGTGACGCGAGAATTAATCGCGCCTTCGTGGCAGAGTGGAGAGGCTTTGGCAAATTAGCTGAAAAGAACCGCTTATTTCGTTCTGTCTCTTCTGTCACTCGAAAGAGAGAGAGACAGAGAGAGAGTAAGCGAAAGATATTCCTTTATTCGCAGGAAATATTATCGACAGGGATGGAGGGACGTTAAAAAGTTTTTAATTCCGTGGACTTTTTTTTTTTCTTTTAACTCTCTTCGTAAGCATCTCCAGGTTATATATATATATATATATATAGAAATTGCGCGCTCGTCTCGCATCTCTCTACACAACCGTTTCCTCCTCTTTATTTTCTCATTTTCTCCATTTTCCTCTCCTTCGTTCCTAAAAACACGCCGCTCCACCGACGTTTATATGTTTATACGTCCTTCGACGATGCTCGCTTCGATGCGTCAAATATGAACGGAGGCGATTGTATTATAGGAAGATGGCTGGAATTTATCAACTTCCGTCCATTTCACCTATCCTTCACTCCATCCGAATTCCAGTCCAGCTCTTCTTCTTTAAAATTTTTCCGGAATTTTTCTCCTTTCAAAAATTTTTTGAATAGGAGCAATTTCAAATTGGTAGCACTACTTTTTCGTTATCTTAGCAACAAAGAGAGATGGAGAGAGGGAGGGAGGGAAGGAGGAAGGGAGGGAGAGAGCAGAGCCTTAATTGCTCATTTTTTCTAGTAAGCCGTCGTAAAATCTCCCGGGGAGATCATTGTTCGGTCACGTTCACCCGCGCTGACTCAAGAATCTCCTCGCGAGGGTTATTTATAACGGAATGGCATGTGGGGCTGACGGGCAAAAACTGGGCCGCCCCTTCTCGAAAAGAAAGCGCGATAATTATCCTTGCAAATTGATCACCGACAAAGACGCAAAGACGTTTAAAATCTAAACACTAAACACTCGGAACACGAGTTAAATGTTAAAAACCCCGTAGACGAAGCAAGACGAGTTAATCCTGGCGAGTCGTTATCCAAGTTGGGGCTAAGCTTTTTCACTCCGTGGCTTCCTTTGCGCGAGGAGAGTAATTTACGACGCGACGTTGCCGCGTCAAGAGCGGCCCCCACTCACAGCTGGTCGCCGCACGCCCCTATCTCCGCAATCTCTTTTCCTGCAACGAGCAGATCCCACGAGCATTATATCGCAGGAGTTCGAGAAGCCTCGCGGCTGATTCGATGACAGATCTCGTCCGCCGATAGACTCGGTATACGGTTGTGCCACAGCGTAGAGAAATGCCTCGAAACGCCACCGCGTGGAAACACTAAAAATCACTTAGCGCGGGTTGCACGTTGACTTTTCGCGATTGTCACACGCCGCAAGCAAGCTGTCGAGTTATCCCACGAAGCTCGTGAAATCACGGTGGAAACACCGTGATCCCTTACCTATGCACGAGTATAGGTAGAAAGAGAGAGCGAGAAAAAAGTTGGCGCGATGGAGCGGCTTATCTATATCTCGGCTGGCTCGAGATGCAGCCAACCCGGAGACGCGCTCCAACCGCTCTTAGATCACGCGATTACCCCGTGGACACAGAAAGGGGCTTCCGTTAAAAGAGGCTTCCCGGGGATGAAAGGAGGAGAATTCGTTCGAATTCCTTTGTCTTGCTTATATACACGACGACGAAATACCTCTAAAATACGAAATTTTCTTCTTCCATCCAAAATTAAAAATTATCGCGTTTCCCGGCCCAAATCCAAAATCCAAGCAACCAGCGCGTTTTAGAAGCGTTTCGAAGGTGATTCGAATCGAAGGAAGGATCCCGTTTTTGATTGAAAAAATCGGTGGAGAGGGAAGGGTCCAATCTTGGAAATTGTCATCGGCCGACACCCGACAAACGTCGAGGTACACGTTGCGATATTACTCGGCTGGATACAGGTATCGGGGAATGAAATCGAGCCCCTCCCCCTCCGAAAATTCACCAATACTCGCGTCCCGTCCAGCCGAGCCGAAGCACCTGATCCGTATCATGCAATTACCGTGGATGCAGTTTCGCTGTTGACTCGGACTCGGATCCTCTATTATTTGCCGGGGCCGGTTACGGAGGGAGGGAGAGGGGGATTAATTCGTTGTTAAATACTACTTACATTGTTATTGACTCAATAATTGATCGATTAACGGCGAGTACCTGCTGACAAACTGAAGTAGAGAGACGGTATGGAAATAATTATTGTTCCCAGCGCGTATCGAAATATACGCGCCCAAAATGATTATTCCCTCCGACATGGGAGGGCATATTTTTGTTAATCAATGACCATACATATCGGATGCGAGTGCAAAATGTTAATTGAGTTGGCTTGGTAATTAGCAAAATCTGTACACGTACGTATATATAGATATTGTATCGAATATTCGAATAAAAAATTATCGCATAATTGTTTGCAAATTATTTCCCATCGACATTATAATATTGTTGTTCGATCCACCGGGACGGAAATATTCCAATTCGATACCGTCCAATATCGATCACGACTGTTAATTATCATTTTAATAATCGTATCGTCATTGTAAAACGAGAAAAAGGAAAAATCTATTTCATTCGGCTGGACGAAGGTTGGAAATTTCAAGAGAGCGTTATAAGAGAGGGGGGGAAGGCTGGGACCAGGCAAAAAGCACGTTCTCCCCGAGATATCGATCGAGGCCGGCCGCCACGACTATTCCTTTGAGAACCGATGCCACGAAATAGACGAGGCTAAGTGGGCGCGAGATAAATTGAGAATAATACTTCCCCTCACTCCCTCCCCTTGCCCCGTTCCACCTTGTCGCCACGCGCCACCTCCTTCCACCATTCCCCTTCTCTCCCCTCCTCCCTCTACATCTGCTCAACCCGATTATCCAACCTTTCACTCGAATCGCATGGAAAATTCAACGTATCCTCTCTCTATCTCTCTCTCTTTCACAGCACAATGACGTTTCTTTCTCTTTTTTTTTCGTCGAAGCGAGGATAGTCGTCCCCCCTCGGGGGACAATTTATCTTTAATCAAGTCCCTATTTAGCGATCGGTGAATTACCAATGGTGCTTGTTTCGCTCATTTGTCCACCTCGAGCTCGAATCATTGGAAGCAAGGAACCGAGTTTCGCCTTCGGATAATTCGATCGATTTTCGTAAGCGAGAACGATATTTACGACTCGTTTCGCTAGTCAAAGAGAAAGGTATGTTCTCTTGCGCGGTGTAAGTGCGTTTTAATATTCGACCGAGGGCCGGATATTTCGACTATTTTGTAACGCGGTCATAAATCGCGGAGGAAAAGGAAACGAACAATAGGATCCCAGAGGATCCGATAAAGAGTCCGAAAACTGTGCATAAAAATCGCCCGCAAAATTTATCGATATTGGCCCCGGGACGGGTTCAATTCTTTCCGCAAAAAATGTTCGCAATCGCGCGTGTAGTTTGGCGAGCGTGGCCCGCGATAAAAGTTTTAAAAAGATTGTAAAAGAGAGAGAGAATATAATAAGGTAAAAAAAAAAAAAAGAAAAGGAAAACTTTCTTTTCGTGAATTACGATCCTC